GAGTCCCCCACAGCCCAGAGTGTACCTGAAGTAAGGGTGCAGTGAGCAGGGGGGGCGGGAGGCCCCGGGAGCTGTGTCCTCACTGTCGGAGCCGTTCCCTCAGGAGCCCAGACTGGGACCTGGGAGGCAGTGTGGTAGCCTTGGCCAGTCTTTTCAAATAGTAAAAGATCTATTCCAATTAAAATATTCCTTATGCTTCAGCAGAAAAGCCTAATACACCTTAGAACACTCTCCCTCTAGGGTGGTGAAAGCTCTGTTACAGGAGTGAGCTTCAGTTCTGTGGTGGATTACATACAGGGAGTGCATTCATTCCCCAGCACCGTGGGATAAAGGAGCCGTTACTCTCCTAAAATGGGTCAGCAGACAGCTTCTGCAAAGGGCCACATCGTACGCATTTCAGATTTTGTGGGCTGTATAGGTTGCAAATACTCAACTGTCCTTGAAGCGTGAAAGTGGCCACAGACGGTACATGAACGTATGGGTGTGGCTGTGTACCGCTAAAGCGTTATTTAGGAAAAAGGCCACATTTGGCCCCAGGGCCTCTAATTGTTTGCTGACCCCTCTGCTAGAAGACAGGTGGCCTGTGTGTAGTTTGCATTTGTTTTTAAAAATTCAAAACGCGGAGAATATGGAGAAAATCATCACAAAAATGGTTATAATACTGGTTTTTCAAAAAAAGATAAACTTCACCTTTCTGGAAAATTCCATCATATTGATTACTTCACGGTTATCAAGTAAGTTACTAGTGAACAAAGAGCCTATTACATCTTTTTTTTTTTTTTAAAGATTTTATTTATTTATTTGACAGAGAGAGACACAGCGAGAGAGGGAACACAAGCAGGGGGAGTGGGAGAGGGAGAAGCAGGCTTCCCGCGGAGCAGGGAGCCCGATGCAGGGCTCGATCCCAGGACCCTGGGATCATGACCTGAGCCGAAGGCAGACGCTTAACGACTGAGCCACCCAGGCGCCCCGAGCCTATTACATCTTAACTGAGATTTCTTGATTTGAAGGCCCAGCCATCGAAAATACAAGGCCTTAGCCACATGGATTTAAGGTTTTAACAATGTAGTGCTATTGTTTGGATAATTATTCTTTGAGAATGTTACCATTTTAATGACATGTTTTCACAGGTCTGAAAAAGAACCCCAGTTTAAGTTTATCTACTTCAACCATATGAATTTAGCCGAGAAAAGTACAATTCACATGAGGAAAACACCTAGTGTGTCCCTTACATCCGTGCATCCGGATTTAATGAAGATTCTGGGTGACATCAACAGTGATTTTACTAGGTAATTCTAACAACTTCTCGACTTAGGTGTCCCCTTTCTGAGGAGAGAAGAGGCGTTGAAGGAATCCTCTTCAAAGGAGTGGCCCCGAGCCGCCTCAGAGGGCCACCCTTCCAAGGAGATCAGGAGGCCCCAAAGTCACTGGTCACTTGCACGTGACTCCCCACACTTTTCAAGTGACTGGTTTCCAGTTTCTGGTCTTAGAGTGTGTGTGTCTTTCACGCTGTAGCTAACCCTGTAACAAACTGCTGCGTTCTGGAACTTGTGTCTTGCAGAGTGGATGAAGATGAAGAAGTCATTGTGAAGGCAATGAGCGATTACTGGGTTGTCGGGAAGAAGTCTGACCAGCGGGAGCTGTATGTTATTCTGAATCAAAAAAACGCAAACCTGATTGAAGTCAATGGTAAATAGGCTTTGGTACTTGAGCAGAACTTAAAAAAAGTCCGTTCAGTGTGCCGGGAAACCTGCTAGGGAGTGAGTCACGACTGTGGGGATGTTGAGCAGATGCCTGTTGCTTAAAGGAAACCATGGTCTGATCCATTCTGTGTTCTTCTGTAGCACAGTTCCTTGAAAAAGTACATGAAAAACTTCCCTGTGTTACAGGAGACTTGGCAGTGGCTGAAGGAAAATTTTCTATAATGCTAAAAGGAAAAAAAAATTCCCATGGCTTTATTCACCGTGTATAAAAATGTCCACTTTTATTCCCGGTGATAAAGAGACATCCCGAGGCAGAGCTTTGAGGTTCACTGCACAAGTTACAGCCCCCTGTCTGTGGCTGAGCAGACCAGGGGCGTGGGACCTCCCTCCCGCCTTCCCGTTGGTCTGGTCCCGAGTGCACTGTGGTTCCAACGATCGCCTCGGCTGATCCTGACAGCTGCTTGTGCTGGAGGAGAGGGTGGTGTCCCCTTCACCGCATCGGGCTCTCTTGCCGCTCTGCTTGAACGGGACGGTTGGGGCAGTGCTCTACATAGGATAAAAGTCAGGTGTGTGGTTTTGTTTTCTGCACAAATCTGCTAGGACACAGTACATTTTCCTCTTACTAGTACTTGTAGCAAGAGGTTGTGCATTAGAAACAGCAGTGAATGCACCCGGCGCAGGGGGAATGGAGTCATGATGGTGCCACCCCTGTGGAGCACTTGAACCACAGCCCAGGTGGCAGCTAGCGTTGTACCCGTTTGCTCAGCGTTTTAGAAGTTGTACTCCAGTCCCCAGCCCGTGGGTGTGTCCGGTGCTTGCGCCTCCCCAGGCCCAGAGGAGTGCTGTGTGGCACAGCACTGAGGTCTCGGGGCACTCAAAGCTTTTGTTGTCCTTTTAATGAACATTTCTGACCTAGGCCTCGGAGCTTAAAGGTCAGTAAATGCAGACATTTATTCCCAACTCTATTCCAGAAGAGTTTGAAGTACTAACATATATCCTATAACCTTTTAAGTGAAAACCTCAGTTTCTCACCCCCGTTTTCTGCTTTTTTTTTTTTTTTTTGCAGAAGAGGTAAAGAAACTTTGTGCAACGCAGTTCAATAACATATTCTTCTTGGATTGACCCATAATGGCTCGCCGAAACATCTTTTAAAAAACAACTCAGCAGGCATTTTGTTTACCACTGCAGGTTCTCGGTCATATTATTGACTGAATTAATGACAATAGTAAAGCAATACTTGCTTTGAAGAATCAAATTTCTACTCAGTCTGATGATCCGCTGGGGTTTTTAGATTTTAAATATTTATGTGGAAATAATTAAAGGTAGTCGGCTACATCTCTTTCATTCCATTCTTTTGACATTATGTGAATATTTTATTGGAAAATAAGACAAATAAATTGTTAAGGTTTTTAAAATTCTGGTTTGGCTCTGAGTCTCTCACCTGCTGCTTGTGGACCGCTCTGCTCAGAGGGCCCCTGGCTCGTCCTTGGGGGTGTTCCAGCAGCTAGAGCTGCTCGGAGTCCGGGTCCCTTCCCCAGTCACTAGCTCTGCGGTAGCGAACCCAGAGCCTTTGGCCAAAGTAACTGCTAGACTTGCTTTTTCTCTTGAGTATGAATGTGAGTTTTAGACCACGTATAATACGAAGGACTGAATGGAAGTGCCCCAGTGTGGTCTAAACGGCAAGCATCCTTCATTTGTCGTGTAGAACCCCCGAGTGGCCACAGCTGCTTGCGTCCTCACAGCTGAGATGTAGCCTGGCTGGAATTTTTGTTGCTGTTCTCACGTCTTATGTGATTTACTCTTTCCATTATGAAATCATGAATCACTCTTCACCCGCGAGTTACCTGCAATTGTGTCTCTTTCTGGCACTAGAAGGCATTCTGTGTCATGTATTCATTGCTGACTTACTAATTACAGCACAATTAGATCATGGTCTCGGATGTATCCTTTGAAGTTGTACTACTTTTCAACCTCAAATGCAGTCAGTGTTTATTCTCTGCTGCAGTCCTGTTTCTGTGTGTTCAAACTTCTCAGTTTCCTTGCTTATCCTTTCTAAATGTTTGTCTTTTTGATGTTTCCTCCCTATAATTCTGCCAGCTTTTGCAAGGCCAAGATTTAAGATGTTTATGAATAATGCATCTTTTGGGGGGTTGGTCCTTTTATCATTATTTCTAGGTTTATCCCTGTTCAGTTTTTTGCTTTATATTTATTTTTGTTAGAATGAACAGGCAAGGGGGTGGGGGGCAGAGGGAGAGAGAGAATCTTAAGCAGGCTCCACACTCAGCACAGATTCTGACACTGGGCTTGATCTCACGACCCTGAGATCATGACCTGAGTCACCCTGGAGCCTCTAAATTCTGTTCTTTATAATATTGCTTACGATTCTAGTTATCTCGATTAGATTTTCCTGGTACATCTTTTTTCACATTTTACTTTCATCCTTTGTCTGGTTTTAAGAGGTTTCCCTTGTAAAGAGTCACAGTGAAGTGAATTTCGATTTTGAACTCAGTCTAATTATCTGGGGGCTTGGGTGGAGGAAGAGGGGAGTTGAACCTCACAATGGTCAGGTGTATTGGCACTTTTCCCACCATCATCTTTGGTGATTTCGCCCTTTCCCCAGCGTCATGTTGGATGATCGTTTCCTTCCTTCCACTAGTTTGGAAGCGGTAGATTGTATTTTCATGCTTTTGGTGGTCACCCTTACATGTGACACAAATTAGCGTAACATTTTCTAGCACAGACTTGAAGTTTCCCTTACTGCGGGGTGCACACCTATTCCTCAGCCTTTCCGCCTGGGCCTTTTGCCCCTGCAGTTTCTGCGTTGCTGGGGAACTGGTGGGAGCAGGGATGCGTGAGTACAAGGCGGCGCGTGGGGACAGGTACGATTTGGACACAGGGTGGTGACGGGCATAGGAGGCGGTCCAGGCTCTGCCAGGGAGCCCTGAGGAAATGTTTAAGTGAATCTGTCCACCGCCAACGGTCTTCTGATGAGTTTTATCAGATTCTAAACTTCATCTCCAATACTGTACTTTGAAAAGAGCACACATGGGTATTAAATGCACGTGCCTTCAGTATATTTCTTAAAAAAAATTATTCAGCTCCGTTTTTAAAATGCAGGCATTTCTGTGATTCAGCCACGTAAGAAACATGAAATGCAGTGGCCCAGGCAGTGGTATTTCAAAGACACTATGACAAGAAGACACAATTTTATTGGTCAGGAAATGTGTTACCATGCTTCCATTGTAAGCTCCTTTTACATCTGATTGTTCTTGGGGCTCATTTACAAACCCGTAACCTCTACTTTTTCTTTTTCTTACTTGTGACGGGCTTGCTGGATTGGGACACTCCTGTGTCCTCTTTAGGGGGGCTCGGTGTGAAACTTGAGGATGGGGCATCCGCCGGTTCCTTGAGCACAGTGATGTCGACATCATAGTCTGGTCTTCTGGCCGCTTCCTCTCTCAAGGTGTTCAGCCTAACACAAGAAGCAAACACAGGAAGGTACCTTTGATTTTTCTTTGCAATTTCTTTTTTTTTAAGATTTTATTTATTTATTTGAGAGAGAGAGAATGAGAGAGAGAGAGCACGATTTTTTTTTGGGTCAGAGGGAGAAGCAGACTCCCCGCTGAGCAGGGAGCCCGATGTGGGACTTGATCCTGGGACTCCAGGATCATGACCTGAGCCGAAGGCAGTCGTCCAACCAACTGAGCCACCCAGGTGCCCTTTCTTTGCAATTTCAAAACCAGTTTTATGCTGTACTGTGTTTATGCCCAGTAGGCCATACCTAGATTTCAATAGTTTTTGTAAGCAGAACTGTAAATTGTCCTCACTTTGCCTGAAATACAAAGTGATGCCACGTCTAGACAGTCCCGAAGAAAATTTTCATGTATCTAAAGTGATTTTTGAACCATTTTCCTCTGTAGCAACTTAGCAGCTAGTAAGTGGCCTTTTAAAATATTCTTGTGGTCTTTGCCCGTAAGTATAGTTTAATGCTTTCTTCAACAGACCAACAGGCTTGACGTGTGCTTTGCAAAGAGCAGGCTTTAGCACTCTGGCCAGATGTGACTGCACAGTTCTCGACCATGGTTCTAGAAAGGTAGGCAAGCGGCAAGTAGTGGGTGCTCACCATGTGCCAGGCACTGTTCCAGACACTTTACAGCATCAGCTCACTAAATCCTCACAACAGCCTGATGGGGGATTATCTGCACTTAAAGATGGGGACACCAAGGCACAGTGAGTGGACCTTGCCTAGGACCACCCACCTGTCAAGGGCCGGGGTTGGGATCTGAACCCTGTCACCTAGCACTGGGGCCGCTCAGCGGCTGCGGGGCCTTGCCTCTCTGTGTGCACCTTGGGGCCCAGATGTTCTCACCACCTGAGAGAACTGGTGGTCACAGGCAGGATCCTTCTGGCAATTCCAGGTTCTCGGAGGAGCTGCCTCCCTTAGGAAGTTGTACACTTTGAGAGCATTTGGTCCCCAGCCCCAGAGGTGGGAAGGAAAGGTGGAGGAAAGGAGCCAATAGGTTCTGTAAGGTCACCTTGCTTCCAGCTCATCGTTCTCGAGCTTCCTCTGCTGGGCCGCGGCCACGTGAAGCAGCCTGTCCTCCCTTATTTTCTCCTTGAGGATTTCTTCACGTTTATGTGCAGGGAACAGTATATTCATGAAAAAGATATACATACTCGTGATCCACACAGCAAGTTTCTCCTTTTGTTCATCCTTGGATTTTTCTTTTCTCTCTGGAAGACAGTTTAAAATGAGCATGAATACAATTCCAGTTCTGCCACTTCCCACGATGCCTGAGCATCCTCATCCCCTGTGGGGGGGGGGAATGCTGTTCTTCCCCCCACCCCAGGCTTGGGAAGGGTAAGGTAACCACAAGGGGGGGGGGTGACTACCTGGAACAAGGCAAGTGTCAGTAGACCAGAGCTACGATTGTCAACACGATGAGTCTCCTGGTATTTTTTTCTAAATGGATAAGTATTTTGGTTTTCTAAAATTAAAACTATGGAAAATTTGCATCTTCCATGTTTCACAGGGGAAAAAACACAAACCTTGGTTTTTGCATGCATTGTCTTTAAAGGCAGTTTTCATTAAGAAAATAATGTAAGAAGATTTTTTAAAAAGTTGTAGAGAGTGCAAGTGGGGGGAAGGGGAGAGGGAGAGAATCTCAAGCCGACTCTGCACTGAGCACAGAGCTCCACGTGGGACTCGATCTCCCGACCCTGAGATCATGACCTGAGCCGAAACCAGGAGTCAGACGTTTAACCGTCTGAGCCACCCAGGCGCCCCATGAAAGAGGATTTTTAACTCTTAATTGAAGAAGAAGGTAGGTAAAACTACTGACTTGGTGAGAGTTGCTTCACATCTACTAGGGCAAACAGATAGCCATTTTGGAATATGTTTAAATAGCTGATTCTGGGAAGATACGCTTTGGACTGTTCTGTAATATCAATAAGCTCTGGGATCTCTCAAGACAAGTGTTTTTAGACTGTGTCTCTAGCGTGGGCTACTCTGCTATGTGAGGGCAGGGATGGGTGAGGAGTGTGGGGGTGGGGACAACGGAAAGGTAAGGTGCTGTGAACAGTCCACCTTCCCATCCCAGGAGCCACTGTGCTGAGCACAGAGTGGAACACTAATAGGAAGAACCTTGATGCCAATGCCCGATTTTACAAAGACTGAGGGAAACCTTCATCGGCACTTCCCACATGAGTTCCTAGGTTCTAGAACATCCACATAACCCGTGGCAGGCCTAGGCTTGGGAGAATGTTGTGCATGGAGGTAACTGATGAACAACTCACCAGGATTGTTGACCCTCTTCCAGGCTCTGGGCACCATGTCACCGGGCAGGCCCAGCCTCTGCTTCAGAAGTAGCAGAGTGCAGTAGTTAAAGAGCACAGACATGAGCCAAACAAGTTAGAGTCAAGGCTCAGCTCTGCCACTTACTAGGCTCTACGACCTACAAGGGAATATCTGTGGCTTGGTTTCCTGTTCTGCAAAAAGGGATCCATGGAGGGCCCACCTCAAAGAGGTGGTATGAAGGCTAGATGATTTAATAGTGGTTTTCCCACAAGCCATGTTTGCCAAAGCAAATTATTCTAAAAGATGATGCACCGGGGGAAAAATATCTGCCAATGACTTGTATCCAGGTTACATAAATAACTCAATGAGAGAATCCAATAAAAAAAAATTTAAACACACCACTAAGTGTTGGAGAGGACATGGAAAGACCAGATCTTCTCATAAAAAAATGATGGCAGATTGAATGGAATGGCCAATTAGGGAAACAGCCTGGCTATTTATATTACACAATTCTGCTAGATACCTATCCAAGAAAAGTGAAAATATGTCCACCATGCCTTGATGCCAGTTTTCACTATTCGTGATAGCCCAAAGCAGAAACAGCCTGGCTGTCCATCCCAACCGATGAAGAGAGAAAATGTGATTTATTTATACAATGGAACACTACTCAGCTATGCAAAGGAACAAAATACTAAGACCTGTTTTAGCATGAATGAATCCCAAAGTAATTACAAGAAAGACATAAAATGGACATGATTCCACTTATATGAAATGTCCAAGAAGAGCAAATGCACAAGGAGAAAGTAGGTCATTGGTACCAGCCGCCCCACAATGCCTGACGCCCCTCACCCACGTAACAGTAGTGGGAGTGAGCCCTCACAGCATGTGGGCCCGGGAGAGACCACAAACTTGAGTTTTAGTACCCACCTTGGGAAAGCGAAAGGGAGGCTGCCAGCACTCAGCCTGGTATATCACAGGATCGAGAGAAGGCGCACGGGCTTAAGAATTCTGCCACAAAAGGGACCAAGAAATGTTAGACAGGTGTATCCTCAGGTGGTCTGAGAAAGCTTCAGAATCCCTAGCAACGCCTAAGTAAGGTTTTGTTAGTAGAGACTTCAGGGGCAAAGATGGCAACACAAGACTTCAAGGAACACAAACCATCTAAGAAACGTGACACCACTGCAAGAGCACAATAATCTTCCAGTAACCAGCCCCAAAGGTATAGAGGTCTGCGACTGACCTGACAGAGCATTCAAAATAGCCATTTGAAGGATACTCAGGGAGCTACAAGCACACAAGACAATTCCGTGAAATCAGGAAAACAACCTACGAACGAAAGTTTATAACGAGATGGAAATCAAAAAATCAAATTGTGGAGCCGAGGAATATAGTGCATGAGATGAAAATGCAGGAGAGCATCAGCCACAGAATGTATCACTCAGAAGAAAGAGTCTGTGGACTGAAAGGAACTTTTGAATTAGTATTGTTTAGATTTCATTAACTTAGCATGGTTTAGGCTCTGGGAATTCAGCAGTGATCTCCCTGCTCAGGTGGTTTTTATGCACCCCCCTCCCCTTTCCCAGGGGAGAAACAGGGTTTTATTTTGTTTTAATCTTCGTCACGTTTTCAGGTTTGGTTATACTGATTTTGTTAAATGAACGTTTTTTTTATGCTTGGAGTTTTAAAAATAAGCATGTAAGAACAATTCTTATTGGTACTGTCTCAAGTTTTTTGCTCATAAAATTAAATTTAGGAGAAAAAAAAGTTAGGAGAGTAACTTTTTGATGGTTTTTCCCCCATGATTATTCAGGTGTTCTGTATTTTTCTGAGTCTATTTTTGCTATCTTCCTAGAAAATAATTTCAAATTTTTCATATGTATTAGCTTAGAGATGTACATAGCATCCTTTCACTACACTTAAAAAAATCTTGTCTGTGGGGATTTTTTTCCTTCCACGTGAGATGGTATGTGTTCTATAACAAAAAAACTGACTACACTAGGTTTTTTTTGTCTATCTTCTCCAGCTTTCAGAATGATCAATTTTAGTAACTTTAGTATTTTTGTTTTATATATAATTTATGAGTTTATATTTTTGTCAATGCCTGCCTCCTGCTCTCCTTCTATTTCATTACTCCTCCCTTCTACCCTTTTGGGCCAAATGTTGAAGTTACCATGTTTTCTTGTTTAATAGTGAAAACATTTAACACTATACATTTTCTCAGGCTATACTTTTGACCATGTCTCATAGGGAATGTTTCTATTATTTCACTTTTCTAAGTATTCTCAGAAATGTAATTTTATTTTTTTCTAAGGATTATTTAGAAGAGAGGAACTCCTATTTGGTGGGGCTTTTTGTTGTATTTTTTTTGCTTTTAACGTCCAAGTGGTTGTGTGATATTTTACTTTTTAACTCAACACACCTGGCCCTTTTTTAATAGGAAGAGCCCAGTGGCATTGGATGACCCCAGCCAAAGGAGAGGGATGAAGGTGGAAGCCAGTGTGGACGGGGCTGAGTAATGACCTGGGAGTTGGGGAAGTGGAGGCAGCAGATAGAATTTTAGCAGGAAAAGGGATCATATTAGAAGGAATATGAGGCACCAAATAAGGGTTTTGTTTTTTTCTTGAGCATCTTTAAAGACCATCTTACCTCATACACAAAAATAAAATGGATTGAAGACCTAACCAGAAAACTCCTAGAACATAGGCAGTAGTTTCTGACATTGGCCCTAGTGGCATTTTTCTAGATGTGTCTCCTGAGGCAAACAAAAGCAAAATTAAGCTATTGGGACTACATCAAAATAAAAAGCCCTTGCACAGTGAAGGAAACCATCAACAAGACAAAAAGACAACCTACAGAATGGGAGAAGATGTTTGGATATGATATATCTGATAGGGATTAATATCTAAAATATATAAAAAACCTATCACCAAACCCAAATAATCCTATTAATAAATGGGCAGAGGACCTGAATACACATTTGTCCAAAGAAGACATACAGATGGCCAACAGACACATAAAAAGATGAACATCACTTATGAGAAATGCAAATAAAAACCACAATGAGGTATCACATCTGTCAGAATGGCTCAAGTCAAAAACGCAATAAATAAGTGTTGGTGAGGATGTGGAGGAAAAAGAACCCATGTGTACTGTTGCTGCACTGAATGCAAATTGGTACAGTCACTGTGGAAAATGGTATGGAGGCTCCTCAAAAAGTTAAAATTACCGTATGATCCATTAGTTCCACTACTGGGTATTTATCCAAAGAAAATGAAAACACTAATTTGGAAAGATATATGCACCCCTACGTTTATTGCAGCATTATTTACAATAGCCAAACATGGAGGCAACCCAAGTGTCTATCCATAGATAGATGAATGAAGATCTGTGTGTTTATGTATATATATGTATGTACGTATTTATATACATGTATGCATACAGAGGAATATTACTTGGCCATAAAAAAGAATGAGATCTTGCCATTTGCAACAACATGGATGGGCCTAAAGTGTATAATGTTAAATGAAGTCTGTCACAAACAAATACCATATGATTTCACTCATATGTGGAATTTAAGAAACAAACAATAAGAAAAAAAAGACAAACTTTTAAATACAGTGAACTGGTGATTGCCAGAGAGGTGAATGGGTGAAATTAAAAACGGGTTGAAGAGTACATTTATCTTGGGGCACCTGGGTGGCTCAGCCAGTTAAGCGTCTGCCTTCAGCTCAGGTCATGGTCCCAGGGTCCTGGGACTGAGCCCCACGTCAGGCTCCCTGTTCAGCAGGGAGTCTGCTTCTACCTCTGCCCCTCACCCCACTTGTGCTCTGTCTCTCTCAAATAAATAAAGAAAAGCATACACTTATCTTGATGAACAGAGCAATGTGTAAGATTGTTAAATTATATTGTACATCTGAAACTAACACTGTATGTTAAT